AAAGTTTAAGAAGCCCTGATATAAGTCCAAAATTAATAGGCTCACCTTTTCTAATGTTGAGTGGTTCCCCTCATTGCCTTTCTCTCATCTGCCCCTAAACAACGTTAGGAAAAAAAATTGACTCAAGGGACTGCTGCTGTTCCAGAATGTCCATTTACGTTTAGTCTCAACCTGTTATTGGCATGCTTATTAGGTCCTGAGAAAAGCAAAAAAATAATCCTTGACGAAAAATGGGCTATTTAGAATCATGGTATAAGAAGAAAGAGCAGTTGTTTGGCCACTTAGGAAAGTGAACATTTGCAGATCAGCTTGAGGGGGAAAAAAAACCCACATATAGATGAAGCCAATATTTTATTAAGGTTTCAGTAAACTTACATAATGGAAACATGTAAATGAAAAAAATTTACACTGACCTCATGACCACCATCCTAAGCCATTACAATAGTTTACTAACAATAATTGGCAAGAGAGTGACTCAGTAAAATAACTTAATCCAGCAGTATAATGAAAACATGGTCAGTAGTACTGAATATATCTCTCTATAATTTCACACAATCAGGGAGCAAGGCACATTATGAAATAAGAGCATACAGTTATGCAAAAGACAAGACAAAAAAATATTGAATTTAACTACATCCTTATTGAATTGTGCATATTCTTTTGTATATTGGGTACTTTTATAATGCAGTTCCTTTTGTCCTCTCTCCCATGCTTAAAAAAGTATATTTATACATACATATATATTTATATATTTATATATGGCAAAGCCCTCCCAAACTGTAGAAGTTAGAGTTTCTAAGAGCCTCCTCCCCCTCCTCCTGAATAGGGGTTAAGGGTTTGGGGTGAGGGAGGAATAGGAAATGGGGGAGGCAATCCCATTTAAAGATAAAAGGTGCAATTTCTTTAAAAAGCGGTAAACATGAATGTATTTACATCTAGTACACGCTTTGCACAGACTAATGACTTTTAATGTGCATCTCTGTACAGAATTCCATTAATGGCTGTTAACAAAATGAAGCTGCAAAACCATGGGAAATATTCTACTTAACACTCGTTTCTTGAGGATTTTTTTAAGAGATAAAAAATATTTTGGGGGAGTGATTACGATTGAAATGTAAGTTTACAAATATTATGTTAAACTATTCCAAATGCCAGTCCTTAATAAGGTTAGAAAAATAAGAAGAAATTTAATTGAACTGTGATTTTCTTTAAACTCAAAGAATAAAAGAAGAGCTAATAGATTTAGTTATTCATGACAAATTACTTATGGAAACAAACACCGTCCAAATGTCCATTTTCAAAGCATGGTTTATACTTCTGTGCTGATCATCTTTTCCAGATGCAATACTTTTTACCTTTTACGTGGCTTTCCTAACACGTAATACATCTTTGGTAGACAGCCCTGAACTCATCTACTAACATTCATGGCTGAAGTCATTCCATTTGGGGGGATGTTTACATCTACTGAAATAGCCATGGTTTCACTTTTGCTATGCCTGGACAACATATACCTTCCTTTCATCAGCCATTATGAGTTAATCTACTTAACTGATTTCTAGAATGTCGTTCCTCCAAGGAGTTCAAGGTATACAGTAAATCTTGTTAGTATTTTGGCACACAACTTCATCCAAGAAGCTCAAACGAATCAAGATTTTTTTTTTTACACATTCAGTGTGAGGTCAATTTTTTTCTTTAGATGTAATTATTTTTGTACTCTTGGTTATGTAGACACGAATTTACATTTCTTACATGCTAATGGGCAGCCATGTACTGTAGTACATGAACATGGCAAACAGTTTGGGTAGATGAAAATTCAAATTTTCTCTTTCTTTGGAGTTCAATGAAGGACGTATTCTTACTAAAGGATTATTATCCATCATCTCTAGTGGAAGACAGTTTTCGTATTATTCATTGGGCACAGTCTCAAGTAATTTTCTTAGAAAAGAGTACAGATGTATCCTTGCCACAATCAATGCATTCATCGGAAAGTTGTTTTTATTTAAAGGAATCCCGTTGTGAAATCAGTGCTTTCTTATCTTTTATCTAAAGTCAAATGTTTAGGTTGCTGAATTAGAGGCACATCTGCACAGTAGAGGTTCACAGGATGGTTCACTTGCTATAATCAAACTGCTTAAATTTTAAAATAAGTGTATAACCATGAAAGGAAATTCTTTTTTTTGGGGGGGAGGGGTGGTTAGAGGGAATAATGTGCCATGGACAGGTGGGAAAACCCATGTTTCTCTCAGGAACCTAGTAAAATTTGGCTAGAGCTTTTGGAAAAAGGCTTTCCCCTCACTCTTTCTTCAGCTGGGGAAAAAGAAGCTCAAAAGTAGCTACTGGCTAACTTAAACTAAATGTAATTAAAGGCATTTATATACTTCAGTACTAGGTTGTGGCAGTTGCAATCATTCATGAAGAGGAAGGCCGTGCTACATTAGGTCCCCATCTTCCTTGCCATCACTTTCCCTGAATATTTCTTGCACGTTTGCTTTGTAAGAACTCACTGCAGACAATAAATTAACAGATCCATTCTAGGCATAATATCATTCAAGAATGACGTCACCAAGGAGTGTTTTCAAGTTTGGATCATAGCCTGGCTCTTAGCAAATCTACTCCTAGAAAGGGACAATTAGGACCACCACTCTCTGGAATCAAAGAGAGCCAAAAATGCACAAGGGATTTTAAGAACAATCAAGTGCCAGTGATTGTTAAGGCGCAGCTCAACATTTCCCTCTTCTCTAGTAAGTTGTTTCAGACTCATTTTTCTCACTTTAAAAAGCAACAACTTGCAAATTATAACCTGATAGTGAGCTATAGAGCAACCTTCCAATAATCACTGGCCTCAAATAGAGGGATAGAGAAACCAGAATACCTCCCTCCACTGACCGAGGGCCACACTGGGAAAATTATGGTGCTGATTTCCAAAACCAGATTCCATTGTATCCTCTGAATATTTTAATATTTACATTAACATGCTTAAGTTAAAAAAAAACACCACATAAGTTACATTAGTACCAGATAGAGAACTGATCCTGCTGTCGTTCAAACTTAATGGTACAGTTTGTAGGTGATAAGCAGGTTAGTACATGTAATAACCACCAATTTGCACTGCTATCTCAAGCAGTAATTTAAAGCTGAACTATTTGAGGTCCTTGGAGTTAATGCTGCCAAGCCAGATTTCCAGCTTTCTCTCCTTGGTCTGGAAAAAGGATGCTGGATCAGAACTGTCAGCAGAGGCAGTGAAAGGAAGGCACAGTACTAGTGTCATCTGGCAGTACATATATTTCCCTGAACCTACAGAGAAAAAGGAATGGCTACAGAAATACCCAAAATCAAAGGTTTGAGGGTTTTTTTAAAGAACCCCTAATCTTTCCCCAAAAACCCCTTGGGCAAAAAAAGATTTAAAAATATCAGCAGCAAAAAAACCAAAACAAAACCTTCTGGAAGAATAATCTCAGCCCTCAAAGAGTATACTAGAACTTCTATTTTGGTTTATAATTCAGTTGTTTCCTGCATCCACTAAGAAAACACATAAATCTTAAGCTGATAGTCTGTATTATATTTATATTTTTCTCAAAGACACAAATGACTACATGTTCAACCGAAGATTGCCCAAAAAAATCATTCCTAATTCCTTGCTTCCTTACCAAAGGTCTGCCTCCAAAAACTTCCATTACTGTTCATTCAGAGAGTCCTTGGCCTCAAGGGAAAATAAGTGACAATTATTGGCCTTCAACAAAGAGGCAGAAAAAGTTGGGAATTCTAATGAATCTAATAGGGAACAATGAATCAATATTATTTCTTAAAAGTCTTGTCCAAACCATAATTGTCCTAGAAAAACTTTGGAGGCCCAAGGAAGGAAAGAAGAGATCTGATTTTTCATAGGGAAAAAATAGGCCTCTGTCCAACTTCACAGAAGTCTGACATCGCAGCTAAACTCAGTACTAAATAAATATCTGGATTCCTTTTCTTAATACTTCCACCTCAGAGAAGAGGTTGGTAGGGCATGTGTTCCTTCCGATACAAAACTGCAGGTAGAAGGCTGTGGAAAATGACAGCAGCACCCATGGACAATAGCATAGTTTCACCTTCTCAAAGGCGGTGTTAGCTGGCTAAACCAGGGTATGCTTCAGAATCAACAATGCAAATGCTTTTAAGGACACTTCATAAGCACATAAATGTTAAACACAGGAAGTTTTGTGAACAATTGAAAATACAAAAAAAGTGCTTTTTAAAGTAGCATTGCTTTAAAATGCACAATGGTCTTATTGCTCAAACTATATGAACACAGGAGAAAGGTGATGTGATAATGGAGGTGCTGCTTACTTTCATTTCATTCTTCACTCTCTCTTTAGGGTGCACTGCTTTCTAATGGGGCAAAGTTTTTACCCTAGATTTTTTTTTTTGGTGAAAATTGCTCAATCTTTTCTTATTCCCACTAGACGACTATTATTTGGATTCCTTCTTCCTTAGGGTCACAGTCTTGACATTTTCATCTTTACAAATATGACCATCTTTTCTTCACTGATATCCATTTGCTCATGCTTGCTGGGCAGGTTGCAGTGTTCTGTGTAAAGCAGCTCCTCCCACTCCCCAAGATCAAGGTGACATGACAGGATTTCTGATGTCTATCTCTCTCCCTCCCTCCCTCCCTCCCTCCCTCCCAGTAAAAAACTGACATGGAACAATATTAGCTAGGAAAACACCACTAGATCTGGAGTTGTTCCACTATGATTTCATGCTGTGCTGCACGCGCACAACAGGTGATCAATATTGAGTACACATAATTTGACATTCCAGTCAAACTCTCTGGTAGCTGGATAAGCTGGATAAAGACAGGATTCTGATTTGGGTTCTTTCCCCTCCTCTTCTGAAGTCTAATGATAATTCTCAGGTTCCACGTAAGATACCAAATGTGTGTGTGGATTTATGCACTCATTAATGCCGCGAAGGACAAAGAACTAGAGGCTTCAATTAACTCCCTGCTAGGGAGAGCAGCAGAAACGTACGAGGTATTTATTCTCCCTAGAGATGTTTTCTGGGCAATGAGATACTTGTATAATGTGTGTACACATTGTGCAGAGATGTGCAGTACAGAAAGCACACAGTGTAAAGGACAGCTGGTATCCTGGAACATAACATCATTAGGTGGTTGGTACTAGACATGAATATCCGCATGAATCAAAACAAAGAGACATGGAACCAAACTTGATTAAAAGCTCAAGGAAATTCAAGGAAAAACTCAAGAAACTTAAGGGACTGAAATGGTATTTCTGGTTAACAGTAAAATGAACTAACTGCTTATTAACAGGTAATTTGTCCCTTATTTTCTCAGGGACACAATGCCACATTCTAGAAGACTACTTGTGGCAGAAATTTATTTTACTCCAGATCACCAAACAATTTCTGTTTTCTTTAAGTTTTTACAGCCAGAATGTTTTGGTTTTCTCATGTCTATATTCTAAGTAGCTAGTCACATACTGTCCTAGTATTGTTATCACTCTTCAGATATTGAGCTTTTCCTGGCTTGAAATGCCCCTTCCCTATGCTTGGAAGTGAAGACTCAAACAATCTAGATAGACCAAACATTCTGGTTGTCTTTTATAATTGTGAGAAATGTCCCATTATAGACCTACTCAATATATATTTTAAGACATGCACAAATGGAGTCTCATTGCACATGGACAGACACTACAAAATACCTCAAATGCAGAAAAGAAAGAGATTTTTGGTCCAATCCACGTGACAGAAAAAAAGGAACATCAAGGGATAATAAGACACACACACATATCCCCTTCGCACCCCCTCCCCAAAACACACAACCCATTTTGGACTAAGTATGGGGGATGGGGAGGGGGAATGTATACAATTACCCCTAGCTACAGCTGAATACCATTTGGATCACATTATCTATCAGACAAGGAGGTGCTGAACACCTGAATGTATAGGTTAGATTAGCTGACTGAAGAATTATCCAGAATCCTGTGGTAACTACCAGTCTCTAGAGAGCTTGGTGTTCTGGTCCCTTTTAGGGGGAGCAGGAGGCGGCCCTCTCCGCAATGTTGCATATCCTGAGATATGGCTACCTCCGTAGCCGGCCTTCTGTTGATCAGAGAGCAGTTCAGGGGGCGGAGGAGGTAATGCCATGTCGTCCATGGTGGCAGTTGGCTCTGCTCTGGATATTCGGGAAGAAGAGAGAGAGCCGTGCCGGGTGATGGACTTCCGCTGCAGTGTCCTGTTTAAATCAGCCAAGAATCCAGGTTGGACGCTAAGGCCGGACTTGGGAGAAGTGGGCACTTGTGGAACGACTGTGGCAGTCACCTGCTGCTCGGGGGTTTCAGCTTGTGTGAGGCGGGTACTATCATTCCGTTTGGGCCTCGTGGGAGGAGGGGCTTTCTTCACTGATGTTTTGGACCATGGCTGTGGCTGAGGGTTAACGACAGCCACTTTCGGAGGAGTGTTTCCTGAAAATACTGACGGAATCTCTACTGGTGGTAGAGGAAGCTCTGTTTCAGGTGGAGGAGGTGGAAAGTCAGAATCTGAAGGAGGAGAAGGAAATTCTACCACCGAGTCCTTACCAGGTCCACTCATAACAGGTACTTTTGCTGAAATGCTTCCTTGTTGCAGAACTACAGGTAGAGTGACTCCAGAGAGACTGAGTTTTCCAGGTTTTGGCAGAGCTGCAGGAGGAGGTGGAGTCTCCTTGCTGGGAGACCCTGAAGGTTCTGAGGGGGGTGCAAATTTGCTAACAAGGCTGTCCACTGAAGGTCTTTTGGACTCTTGATATTCTGCACAGCTGCTAGATTTGATGCTGGAGTTTCGCTGTGGTGTGGGGGGTGGTTTCTTTCCCCCTGGACTAGAAGTCTTGCTGGTGGTCTTTTTGGCTGGAGATCCAATTTTATCAGGGGCAGGAGAGAGCCCTGGTGTTGATGCTGGTGGAGGCGGAAATACAAGGACGCTTTCAGGGGGAGGTGGAGGAAAGTCAGGGGACGGCACAGAGCCGGGCTGCCACTTGGGCTTGGCTTTCACAGCAGGGGGAGATTGTGGTGTCACGCTCAATGGCACAGGCTTTAAAGGCTGAGGCTCTGATGGAGGAGGGGCTGGGGAGGTGGGAAGTGGCTGGCTATCTGCTTCACAACAGATGGCACTGGAGATTGCGGGGAAGGAGGTGGTTTTACACAGAAGCTCTGTTTGGGTAATGTCGGTGGGGGAACTGGACCAGGAAGAGCAGGAGGAGATTGTGGAATCTGGGAAATGGGAAAAACTGGCTGCTTTTTTGCTGGGGGAATTGGAGGGGTGGGCACAGGGAGTGGGGTTTGTATCACAGTCGGTGATGCGGTTTTGGTACTGGTTGGTGGGGGAGTCACCAGGGGTTTGGGAGGGGCTTGAGGAGGTAGGGGTGCAGGAACAGGAGGGGGAGGTGGGGGTGCAGGAACAGGAGGAGTAGCCTGAACAACATTCTGCTGCACTTGATGGATTTTCAGAGGTGGGGGTGGAGGGTTGAACTGAGGGACTGTTGGGGCACATGGGGCTGGTTTTAACTGAGCCATAGCTGATCCTGGGGTAGGAGGTGGGGGTGGAGGAGGAGGAGGGGGAACTACCCCATTAGGAGGCACCAGCAGCTGAGGTTTTCCCGACTGTGACGCTGCTGACATTTGCTGTGTCACCAGGGGTGGTGAGGGTTTAAAGAGAGGTCCTGAATGTTGAGATGCATTCTGCAGCCTGGTTATTGTACTGTATTTGACAAACATTGTGGCTGCTGAAACTGAAGAAGGTGCAGCCTGGCTGGGGAGAGGGGGTGGAGGGGGTGGCGGAGGGGGTGGAGGGGGCGGTGGAGGCGGGGGAGGGGGTGGGAGAGGCGGGGATGGCTGTGAAGCAGTGTAGGGGGCAACTGTCTTAGTTTGTGGGGACAAAGGGGGCATAAGTGAAGTGTAAGGTCGGTTCAAAGACTCCATTCTGGCCTAAAAGGAGTATAAAAAAAGGGAGACAAGGGAGACAAAAAAAGGTTATAAAGTTCAGTTCCGATTTGCTTATCTATTTAAAAAAAAAAAGGAGCCTGGAACATGCATGAAGAAGATGTAGCAAGAGGATGAAAATGGATAGATCACATGACAGGAAGGAGGAAGCTTGGCTCCCTGGGGAGGAGGGACATCTAAGAATATACTCAAACAGCAGAGAGCTAGATTGCCTATCCTCCTGGGAAAGGATTTCCTGCTGTGAAAGACTTTAGACAGTGACAGGATACAGAACTTTATGATCTGTGGTTATTACTTTCACACATCCTGTCCTGAAGGGGAACCGTCACGAGAAGAGAGGACAACCCTTCATTCCATGATAGCATCTGCATCAAGCAGAGGCATGGATTAGGTTTAGGATGTGCTGGTGGAGGGCCTCTTGATGAATGAGGATGGCTTTCTGATGCTAGTGTGCTGACATATGAGAGCATGAAAATATTCAGCAGGCGTGCACAGTCATACAGGGCTGAGCTTGACACACACACTTGTATTCGTACGAGACACTTGCATCCAACATGCACAGAAGTCCAGCAATGCAGGTAAAGGGGGGACATTTTCCTTATATTTGTTTTTACTGGAAAATACATAAAGAAATGATTCATGAACATTACAGTGAGCGACAACAACAACAACAACAAAACCCGAACCATTATTATACAGAAAAAAGCAGGAGAAAAAGAATAATCTCAACAGCTTTGAGAAAAGGAAATCCAGAAGGAATGGAAATCTGCTGATGACTTAAAAAATATTCCTTAGTGCTACTGGAAGTCACCATCATTTAGTGCATCAGTTGATTAATGTAAGGATGTGATTAAAAATTTCTGAAAATGATGTAGAAATATGCTAGGTTATATTTGTTTGTTTTTCTGCTTTTTAAATAATTTGGGCATGACCTTTGGGGTTTTAAACTGTTTTGACTATTGATCAAAAGCAAGAATTATTTAGATCACATTACAAAGGATTTTCTAGCCAATTTGTTAGATAACTCTAAACTGTCAGACTGAAATTTAGGGCTAATTAGCATAATCACATAAAAGGATTAAACAGCTCTCAATTAAAGGGTTAGTTGGTAAGATTTGGTTCTGTGAAATCACTCAGGTTAATTAATATGCTTTCAAAGAACAGTCCCAGACCTCAGCTGTACCCCATATTAGGCATCTTGGATATGCAGACTCTAGCTCTGCTGGCCTTCACACTGGGCATCTGAGACTGAGGTAACAGGAGAAACAGAGGAAGGGGAATAGAAACTTAACAAACCTCTACTGCTGCATAGGGGCCTAGCAGAATTTCTAACTTGAAATTTTTTTTCCAAATCCTTCTATTCCAATAACCTTCATTTTGCAATGACAACCAATCCTTTTAAAACACAAATCTTTGGATCTCTGTTTTGGGGCAGTTCTACAGGTCAAAATCTATGTGGACAACATCATTAGAAATTTCATAAAATGGAGGATTTTATTCTGGAAATTTGAATTAGTAGAATTTCCTAAAGCATGGTTCCTGATTTATCAGAACTAATTAAAAGACAAAGAGGGAGTAAGAATTTTTAAAAATTCTACTGTGCTGACTTAATTTTCCCCAAACTATTTCCAATATTAATTTTTGTGCTGAATTAAAAGTTCTATCGGGTAACCTATAATTGGCATCACTTATGGCAAATTTTCAATTGACTCAGTGCTGTGAGTGCATTTGTATAAGTAACTCAGATCCCAGCACTAGAAAACAATTACTGAATAAAAACCTAACTGAAGCAGCAGTTGCTAAAAGACACGTAGTGAGTTCTTGAACTGGATGTTTTAAAAAGGAGGCCAGTTGGCAGAGATGTAATAGAATTTCTGCAAAAGTTTAGACTAGGCAACCTCTAAGGTCAAGGAACTTGGTGAAATGCAGTGCTGCTGTTTACTACGATGTGATTCTGGGCACTTCCATTTAATTTCTCTATCTCAGTTTCCTCATTTGTAAAATAAGGTGACTGAACTAGAACAGTGGTTCTCAAAGTATGGTCCATGGACCCTGGAGAGTTCTTAAGACCTCTGGAGGTTCATGAGGTCAAAACTATTTCACAATAATACTAAGACAATATTTGCCCATTAAAATGCTTAAATAAAATACCCTTTTCCACCAACATAACTAACTGTGAGGCCAGATCTTTTTTTCATGTACTTCAACCAAAACAACATATTACAACAGACTGAATCAAAAGCAACTGAGAATCTGGCTGTTTTTTACTAAGCCAGACATTAAGAAGATTTGCAGAAATATATAAAACATTGCCACTCTTTTCACTGTTTTTTGGGAAAACGGTTATCTTTTATTTAAAAAATTATATTAACACGCAGTAGATTTACTGTTATTTTAAATAAATTTTAAAAAAATTATCGGTTTTAATTTCTAATACAATGTATACATATATGTATGCATGTGTGTACATATGTACGTATGTACGTGTGTGTGTATGTGTGTGTATGTATTACTTAAGAGCTCTCTGGGGTCCTGAGACCGAAAAAAAAAGTTGAGAACCAGTGGATTAGACATTCAACTCATTCCATATGAAGGACTTCTCCATTGATTTAATTCTCCAGGAAGAAGTGTCCAATTAAACATGGCAGTATGATTCAGGAACACAAGAGTTAGGAATAAAAATTTTGAAAATGATGATTTAGAACTCATTCCTTTCCTCTATAACTTTGTGGAAGAAGTGAATGAGCAGGAAAGTGGTCCAAAACTGCAAGAATTTAGTGAAGCAAGAGGTTCGTAAGCAATAAGCTGAATAAATTCACCCTGAACCATCAATGACCAACTGATCTGATAACATCTATTTAAACAGAAGATAGTGACTCCCAACAATCATAAAGACACTAAGAAAAAAGAACCAAGAAGGAAGAGTTCCTAAAAAAAAAAAAAAGACCGAACAACATTGCAATAAATCTATTTCTCATTAAAGCATCATGAGATTTGCTATGCAGACTAAAAACAGGCTTGTTACCTTGCTGGACTCTTCCAATTGAGTGCCTCGTTTCCAAGCTTCTGAAAAGATAGAGCTCACAATACTTTGAGAACGAATATGTCCTGTTGGCTGGGTGTCAGAAACTCCGCTATCAGACTGATTAGAATGATTCGACTGAGATTCTGTTTAAATTAAAAATGAAATTGGTTTTAAATCAGTCAGTGAATAAATATGTTAGAGAAGTATCTTACAGAATAAGTGTCAATTGATGTGCAATTGACAAGGTGAAAGTTAATTTCTACCACTCAACTTATCAAATGAGCTACTTTCTACTAGAAAATGTCTCTCAACCTAGAAGTGGTAAATCTCAAGTCTACTGAGCATACCAGTTCACTAAGAAATTATACACAAAGATTGTGCATACTATTAGTATTTAATCATTCAGCAAATAATAGAATTTGTACAAAGACAAATAGGAATTCAGATAAGAAAAGAAAACATTTAAAGTAACCATTAAAAAGCTAGCAACTTTTTTACCCACAGGACAAGGTCTTACATCCTACTTTCCCTGACCAAAAATAAACAAAACTGACAACAGTCATGATGATGGTTAATTATAAGTTTTGGTTCCTTTTGATTGAGAAAATGGGTCTTTTTTATTTAGTATCTGTTTTGTTACACTGGGAAATAGGACAAACTATTGTTTAAGATTAAATGACTTTTAATGTACAGATTTAAGTCTATTTTCACTTTATTATCATTAGGATTTTGAAATGATTGCCTTTTCTGGAGTGGGGAGAAGGAAGGAGAAAGAGAATGATGAAAATATATCATGGTATCTTGGCTAGTTACTGAATAAACTAGGAAGGGTTACTTTCTGTAGTTTCCCCAGTTACAGTTTGAGGCCACCAGATTGCAGACCGTGTGTTGCTGGTATGTGGGATGAAATAAACCACAAAGGTCTAAGTCATACTTTAAGAATCATTACCTATTCATTACTAATAAGAATAAGTCTAATGTCTTCCTTTCTCCAGTCCTTATTAGCAATAGGGAGCAAGTCATGAAGCTTCTGTGAGTCTCTGCTTCCTCATCTGTAAAAGGGAGTTTTTTACTACTACCTTCTTCTTTGGGTTATCTCCCAACTAAATCATAAACTCCATGAGGGCAGCGGTAGTTTTATTTTTGTATCTTCCTCAACACCTAAAACAGTGTTTTGCACGAGGCAGGTACTTAATATTGTTTGCTATTTTTTTTGGCTATGCATCCAATAATTTCCTGAGATCCCTTCCAGATTTGATTCTATAACTTGTAAACTATCTGGGAAAAAAATCTACCCCCAAACTGTACACAATATAATGTATTTAAATGATACTGAATTAGAATATAGCATCATGACGTTTCAATTTGTTTATAATGGTCAAATTTGCTTGTTATTTCTTTTCTGTATATCCCTATATGACATGCACATGATTCTCTTTTTGGTCTATTATCAATTTTGTTTTTTATTTACTTGTTCTTACACAATAGTGATGAAAAGATTGTCTTCCTTGAGGCTTAAACTGGAGACAAAAAGAAAAAAAATCATTTGACTGCCACTTCCTATTTCTTTACTTTTTATAGCTATCTCATGGACACTTAAGGAAGACAGGGTTTTTAAGAAAGTGTGGTCATTTACTGATTAAAAACTACAGTTAAGAAACAGAATCATGGAAATGATTTTTTTCTCTGTCTTTGACATTTCTGATTAATGTCATCCCAAGATTTAATCTACTAATGTTTTCCATTTTGAAGACACTCAAATGAAATTTTCTTCCTAATTTGAATAATCTTAGCTTTCAGTTCTGAAGAAATAGCACATTATAACTAAGGGACAAAAGCCTGGCATTGAGAAATTTTAAAATGGAACACACAAATTGTTATTGTTAAGAGGGTCAACAATTGTAATTATACTGAAATAGAGAGGTTATCAGTCTCCAGAAAGGGCTAAAAAAGTTTAAAGTAGGGGTTCTTAACATGTGTGAACTTTAAAACTTTTAAATAACTATATTAATATAATCTGTTTCCTCTGTAATCCTATGCATTTTATTTTATACACTTGAAAACATTATCTGAGAAGGGGCCCATAAACTTCACCAGACTGATGGTCCGAGGGAGTTAACAGCACAAAGAAGGTTAGGAATTCCTGCTTTAAAGACCGAGGACAGTCTTTACCACAACTAGTGAAGTTGTACTTCGAGGTATTTCTGATTTACCTGGGATGCTAGAAGAACTTGATCCAGATTTGATACTGGAACTAGACAAGGAGGTCCAGTCATAGGCTGACTCTGTTCTTTTCAGAGCTTCCTGATAATTCAGGTAGAGCTGTTTTCCATACTAAACAGAAAAGACAGTAACTTATGACTTTATTTGAATTTAATTGGTATGGAAAGAGGAAGAAAAAGCATGTTTCTGCTAGATGATTCACAATTTTCTATTAAAGGACTTCCTCACCATGCCAAACCATTAGAATGAATTAAATTGCAATCTAATATAGCTAAGTATAACGTCTAGGCAGGCAGAAAAAAGATGAAATATAACAATAACCAATAGTTGGTTACATCTGAGGATTACTCAGTAGCTTTTCTGGAGTAAATATAAAATCAATAAAAAAAGCACAATTAAAAAAATGAAAATTTCCTTCAAAAGAATCACAAGGTATCCTAAACTCAAATAAATCACACTTTTACCTTATCTAGTGTTTTATGATCACTCCTATTCAGTTAAGATTCAGAAGTTTAAACCTCAACCAATAAAAATACATTACATTAATATATACTCATCAACATGGTGACCCTCCCTTCCTTGTCAAGACTTTTTTCTTTATGTTCTTGATCCTATCTCTTTCTGTCATTTCCAGATCCCTTCCCCATCCATTTCTTCTTTTTAAAAATATGGCTCTTTTCTGTCTAGAAACAGATCTCACTCATCTTCCAAAATGCCTGAAAATAACCCTTTTATTCCTCACTCTCATTCCTTGTCATGGCTAAATTTCTAGAAAGAGCAGACGTCAACCCACACTAATGCCCCACAATCTGGTTTTTTTCCCCTACCACCCTACTGAAATTGTTTTCTCCAACGCCACCAATGACTTCATGATTACCAAATCAAATGTATTTTCTCAGTCCTCATCCTTGATCTTTTTTGTTGTATAGAAGAGAAAAAGACTTTAACAGAATAAGGATAATATGTAGCAGGTGATTTAAAGTTGTTTGGACTAGTGAAGTAATTATGTGGGAAAGAGAAATTTGGGGAAACTGAGGGAAATTCAAGAGATACCTGTCTAGATTCTACTTCCAGGATGAAAGGAGATCAAAAGTAAGAAAGGAGAATGTAAAGGGGCTAAAAAGGAACGGATCAAGGAAGATTAGGGAATAAAACCTGAAGAGGAAGACTACAAAGGCAAAAGAGAAGTGCCTGGCAAGACAAGGCAAAGTAAGCTAGAAAATAGTTGGGTCTGTTTCATTCTTTGTATTTTTACAATATCCCTAGCACCTAGCAAACATAAAATGCTTTTTTTTTTTAAAAAGCTCTCCACAATCTGGTCCTTTCCTACCTTTTCAGTCTTTTAATACCTTACTCTCCTCCACATGGTCTGCGAGATACTGGCCTTCTCACTTCTGCAAACACCACACTCCATCTGCCTTTTCACTGATATCATCCATTCCTGAAATACTAGTGTTCCTTGCCTCTGCCTCTTGGCTTCTCCTGGATTCCTTTAAAACTCAGCTCAAATCTCATTTGCAAGAGGCAATACTTTCCACTTCTTTCCACTTCCAGTGCTCTCCCTAGGAGCTCCATGAGGGCAAGGACCAGGTCTTTGGTCCAGCAACCTTCAGCTGGTTCCCTGACTGTAAGATAGAAAGTATAAACTTCCAGTCTACCTTTCCATCCTTATTTTCTACTACTTTCCTTTTACTGCATACAATCCAAACTGTATGTTCCCCGGTCTTGTCTTGACTTCTCTTGCCTCCATGCATGCCATTCTTTGGACCAGCAACATAATTCCTTTCCATCTCTATCTACTGAAATCTGTTTTCAAAGCTTGGCTCATTGTGCTATCTTCTACATGAATCTTTTTCTGATTACCATCACCCTTTTCACCCCCTGCCCCACTCTGTAATATGAAAATGATCCTCCCCCTTTGCCTTTATCACTATTTTTATACTGTTTAGTTCTGTACATTTCCTATCCTTTCAGATCATAAACTGCCAAAGGCAGAAACTTTATTTTTCATTTTTGTATCATTAACATCTTGCATGATACACTGTGTCTGTAATAGGGCTTGATAAATATTTGCTGAGCTGCATTAAGAACCCATCAGACATGTTAAAGGAAATCTTGCCTTTGCAATCCGGATGCCATTTACCCACTGGTGCAGAGTTCTAACATCGTCACAACAAAGATACTTGATATACTGAGACTTCTTTTGGATCTGTGGGTGCTGTAGTTAAAAGAGAATATTGAAAGGGAAATTTCAAGTGTCACTTCAAGATTAAAAAAAACAAAAAAACCTGAAACAAAAATTAAGGTCGCCCTGACAACAGTTAAAACAATTAGAATAATCCCCCGATTATTTCCTTAAAATCTTGTATTTAATCTTGGAACAGGATATATGAATTAGAGTAAGCCTGATAAATGAATTGGATATATCCTAGGTCATTTCCAGAAAATCTTTTGTATATATCCATTCTGGGGAATAACAAAACACATCGAGGAAGAAACAAAACCAATTTAAATTTCAACCTATGAAAATTAGGAAAGAGAAAGAGCAGTTCGTCCTGTGAACCAAACTGTATACATAAAAACCAAAAGACAATGAAAGATTCCTTAGTCTGAGTAAAATAGTAAAACTTTTTAAAGCCCATTTTGAAACATTTTTCATCACTACTTCCTATTCTGTCCCCTTTGCCAAAAGTATGTATTGCACAAACATCATCTCCATGGGATAAGTTAGAACAGTGAACAGAAAACAAGAAATCCACTGGGAAATTCACCTCTCAAGTGCTCTGTTCTGGATGAAACTAATCAAAGGTTAGGGACTGTTACCTGTGATTTCACTGATACAAGAGAACTCAGATGAGGAAAATTCTTATAACCAAAGCAGGTCAACACCTTATCTGCAGAAATATACGTTGGACTAATGCTCACATAGGTCATATCTCTTAGGAGGGGGTGTGTGTGTAAATAGTTATAGAGAGACAGAAGTCACAGAGTGTCATAAAGGACAGGCCTCAGAACCAGGAAGACCTTGGTTCAAGTCTTGCTTCTGATATTCCTTCTTCCAAGAAAGGGAAATAGTAGTAGTAGTAGTAGTAGTAGTAGTAGTAGTAGTAGTGGTAATTCTTTCTTTTTTTTTTTTGCTTTGTGCAAACAGTGCATCTCCATTTTATAGGTGAAGAAACAGACTCATGAATGGTGAACTATAGCCACAGCAGTGTCCTGATCTTTTTTAGTAACTGTCAAAAAGGGAAATTAAGTTAATCTGTCACAAGTTGTTCTGAGTGAAACTGTGGTTCACTGGTTAACATCAGCTCTACATGAGACACCCTTAAAACAGTGTTTATGGTTTAGGGTAAATCACACTGTTCTTAGCTTCTCCTAAACTTTTTTCAAACAGGGATAAAAGTAGTTTAATGGACATGAAGGGGGGCAGGGAGAGCACATAAAAAAGGCAGGCAGCAGAAGTATGATTCACTGCTTCATAACCAGGACATTCACTAGCCACCTCTTTTAAATCACCTTACCTTTGTAAGTCTGTTTCTTCACCTATGAAATGGAGATGCACTACTTGTACAAAAAAAAAAAAGGTGAATTACTACTACTACTACTACTACTATAGAGCCTACCACTAAGCCAAATGGGTGGTGCAATGAACAGAATCCTGGACCTCCACTGAGATTTGAGAATTCAATTCCTTCCTGAGACACGAACAGCTGTGTGACCAGGGGCAAGTCACAATTTCTGCCTACTGCCTACTTTCCTCATCTGTAAAAATGGAGATAATAATAGCACCTAGCTCATATGGTGGTTGTGATGATCAAATGAAATATCACATGTAAAATGTTTTGCAAACCTTAAAGGACTATATAAATGCCAGATTATCATTATTTCTTTGATATAAAAATTTAAAACTTGAGAAGCAAGAGTTTATCTACTAAAGGCTACAATTTACTTAATTTACTATATGTTACTTAAACAATGAACTTGGGCAGTAGAAAGGTAAATATAACAATCCACGAAATCGTTACTTGTTTTTTCACCAGCACTACAACAGCTGTCTTTTGCTGTTCGCCTTTTTTTTTTTTTTTTTTGTGAGGCAGTCAGGGGTAAGTGACTTGCCTAAGGTCATACGTCTAGTAAGTGTCAAGTGTTTGAAGCCGGATTTGATCTCTGGTGTTCCTGTCTCCAGGGCTGATGCCCTATCCACTGTGCCACCTAGCTGCCTGTTTCGCTGTTTATGGTACAGGGTAAATCAAATTATTTGATCTTGGCTCCTCCTAAACTAAAGGTTAAAATTAACATGAAGGACAGTCTTGAAGGAGGGGAAAAATCCACAAAAGGGCAGCCAGTGCAGAGTATGAAATGTGCAGAAGAATCAGTTTCAAATCCTTTGACTTAATAATGGTTGAAAAAGTATTATGTGAATCTCTCCATTAAAAAAACAAACTACACACATCTTCATCTCATTTTAAATATAACACTGACTTTGAATGATAATTTGGTAAAAGGCAACACACACTACTGAATACTTAGGAGGAAAATATAATAGAATTTTATTAGCTTGTTCTAAAATCAAGTCTAATTCACTGTTTCCTTTTCTTTTTCTTTCCCTAAAATTATATTTGAACAGACAATTCCATTGAGTAAATCAAAGGCTTTCCATACATGTGATGCTGTAAAATCACAACTCTAAATTAGAAAATCAAAGACAATTACATAGACATCAATTACCCCAATCACCCCCTCAATACTTTAGAAGCATATGTGACTGAAATGGAAGCATATGTGGTTGAAAATAGTTTCTCACCTTATTAATAATTTTTAAAAATAGCTTATATATAAACCTATCATATTATCAGATCAATGGTTTCAGTATATATCACATATATATATATAACACCCCCCCATTTCTTTTCCTAGCAATACTTTTGAGTTTCATGTTCATACTCTTCTCAAAAATATTAACCAGTCTTGCTTTCCTACATATCATGTCTAATAAAAGTACATTTTTTTCTTATTTCTTTGAGAAACTGATACTCTGTGTTGGCTAAATTCCATATTTTCCCAAGAATTATTGTGATTTTTTTCTTTTAAAAGCAAACAGAGGGGCAGCTAGGTGGCACAGTGGATAGAGCACTGGCCCTGAAGTCAGGAGGACCTGAGTTCAAATCCAGCCTCAGACCAAACACTTGACACTTACTAGCTGTGTGACCCTGGGCAAGTCACTTAACCCCAACTGCGTAAAAATTTTAAAAATAGAGAAAAGCAAACAGACTCATTTTCACTTAACCTTTACTTTCCATTTAACTTACAGTGTATACACATGTTATCATGAAGACTAAACAGAACCAGTGCCTACAGATAGAACAATTAGGAAACTCAGAAATTAGAATCATTTTCTCTAAGTCTTCTGCCAACTAGAGTTGACAGCTTGATTCAATTATTTCAAATAATGCCAGCTAGATTCAATAAATTTTTGCTGAACTGAATTTCCATAAAGGTACAAATGAGATTTTAAAAGGCTATGAAAAAGACAATCTAAGCAGGTCCTAATCCTTTCTGTTACTTACCAAAGAAAGATTTTCTCAATAAAGTTCTAGCTTATAATTTGTCTAAAAATGAAAACACAGATGGGCAGAGGTGGTTGTGATAGTAGTAGTAGTAGTAGTAGTGGTAGTAGTAGTAGCAATGAATGTCCAGGGTGTGGGTTGAAAAGTGATGAAGCTGTGACTTTACTTCTAAACATTCACTATGTGTAGTTTGAAAGCACAAAACAAATCTATTTCTCAGTATTCCTCACCATACTATCCTCTTATCTAGAGCTCATGCATCATTTCCCCTGCCTTTTTAATCTTCTCCTATCTCCCCAAAGCAGGGAAGCAAAGGACATTCATTTGGGAGATGCTGGGGGAAAGGGTCAAGTTAGGTTCAAGAGGGGTAGATGGCTTCTTGGATTTTTAGCCCTAGTCTGTAGTCCCAAAAGCTTAAGAACCATCATCTTGGGCACTCTAGTGATTTATTACAACATCTATGTACCTGCTAGTACACCGGGCTGAGAAGTAAACCATACTTTCCCTTTTCCCTTCTGGTGGTAGTGAACAGGGCAAAGAGGGGGAAAAACACCTAAAACATCCCATATACAATATGAGAAGGGAGAAACTATGATACGTTAAAAAAAAAAGGGCAGGTTGTATTGATGCTTCACAGGTAAAAATTCTGAACTTTAAGGTTGCCAAAACCCTTTATGTATGCTATCTCATTTTTTCTTTACAACAACCTTGGGATGGCAGATGTTGTTATTATGCCCCTCTTACAGATGAAGGCTTAGAAAGGATAAATGACTTGCCGAGGGGAGCAGAGCTTTTAATCATCTGAAGTAGAATTTGAACTTGTCTGATTCCAAAATCAGAGCTCTAGACATTACATCACCTCTAAGTATCCTAATACATGGCACATCTTTGTTTCATTTGTGAATATATTTGGTTTAATTATATCTTGATATATAAAAATGACTGCTACTTAATATATTTTTAAAGTTGCTTCTACTAAATTATTCAAAATATGTTTTTTTTCCTCTCCAATGTGAGGGATAATTGGACTGGAAAAACCTCATGGAGGTGACTGGAGAAAGTAAAAGACATAAAAAAATTTCAGAGGTAGGGTACAATAAAGGAATTGGGAGTTCAATGGAATGTTTTACTTTAATGTTCCTCCTGCAGTGGATGAAAGTGAAGTTTAAACTCAGACCACGATGCCCTCTGATGGTTCTATTAAGTAAAGAACACCAGCTAAATGGAAAAAAAAGATTCTCAGGAGCTGAAAAGAATTTTCATCCTACACAATAAACTAATTTTAATTTTTTGAATGTACATTTCAAAGTAACAAGAAATAAGATCAAATTGTCTGAAATGTATTAGAATATAATGTTGAAATGTCAGTGTCTATTTCTATTACTAAAATCTTAGTTCTGGTATAACATATACAATTCTTAATCTTGTTACCTACTTTTCCTCTTCCTGTTTTAAACTCTAAGTAAAATAATATGTCAGGCAGAGACAGTTTGGGTGCTTATATTACTAAGATATTATTATAGATAACCCTACCTACTATGCAACTTCAATTATAAATTCTTAGAAATTATCAAACAAGTTACCTTCAGGGCTAAGCAATAGTCTGTAGGTGCTTTGTATTTGTTCCGATAATCTTGTCCATAGTAAACATTGATATGGTCCAGCTGAAGAAAGCATACAAGATCCCGAGAAACCTAATACACAAACAAAAGAGTCAGCAACAATGTATCAAGTATCTCTCTCTCTCTCTCTCTCTCTCTCTCTCTCTTTGTTTTTTGGCTAGGCAATGGGGTTAAGTGACTTGCCCAGGGTCACACAGCTAATAAGTGTCAAGTGTTTGGTCTGAGGCCGGATTTGAACTTAGTTCCTCCTGACTTCAGGGTCGGTGCTCTATCCACTGTGCCACCTAACTGCCTGCAATTGTGATGTTTATGATCTATAAGTGTCACTATGAGTAGTTGGTGTTACACTAGTATTTAATACTCTGCTATATGCTTTTTAATTATCTGACATTTGCATAAAATATTTGGGAGTTGACCTACCAAAGCAAACTCAATACCTGTTTAGATTCAATTACAAAACATTTTGTAAAGAAAAAAAAATAAATGCTGGAGGAATATTCTGTGCTCTTAGTTGGGTTGTGCCAATGTAATAAAAATGACAATACCTACCAACTTAATTTTCCATATAGCAACTTAACAACACTAAAAAAAAAGCAAATTAAAACAAATCTAAGGTCCTATTCTAATCTATCAGATTGGAAAAGATGAGGGACAAAAATAGGCAATTTTGGAAGAGCTGTGGGAAGATAGACATACTAATACTATTGGTGGAGCCAGACACTGGTCTAAATGTTGTGAAAAAAAAAATTAGAATTACATAAGAAAAGTTACTAAACTGATCATATACAGTGATTCCATAACAGGCCATATATATAGGAGGTCACAGATAGAAAACAAAAAGTTCTGTATTTAACAAAATACTTAGAGCAACTTTATTTAAGGTGGGAAAAACTAGAAAGAAAATGATTACTCATCAACAAGAGAATGGATGAACAAATTGCTATGTATGAACATAACCAAAAGTAACTGTTCTATAGGAAACAACACACCTAAAGCATTTTAAGAAACATGGGAGTACTTTTATGAGCTGATATAGAGTGAAGAAAAGCCGAAGTGAGCAAACAAAATACAATGGCTATTATAAATAAAAATAACATTAAAAGGCAGTTTAACTCATATGAATTTCAGCAAATAGTCTTATTTCTTAAGCACAGAGGATGAAAACAAATTTCTCTCCCATTGGCCCACATGTGGGGGGCTATGGGTATGGTATATTGTGCATTCTTGGTCAGAAATGATGGCTGCTTTGTCAGTTTGTAGTTTTCCTTTGTAAGAAGTATGCTGGGAAATGTCTGTGAGGCTAAAACACAAGACAAAACCAAACCAAACCAACAACCACTCACCAAATAACAAAAGCAGTACCAATGAAAAAGTTAAAACGTTTTTATTATGAAGAACACACCTTTGCTTTTCCTTTAGGAACATAGTAGATACCAGAAGCTCGCAGTAGAAAATAGCGTTTTTTCCAGGACTTCTTGCCATCATCTTTCAGCCACAGTACTCCTTCAAGTTCCGGGACTGTCACAGAACTCCCACAAAAACACTCCTGACATAGGACAATGTAGAAAGTGGAAAGGATTATAATCCTTAGCTTGTCATAACGAAACTTATTCACATGACATAAGATGTTAACACGAAACCAAAAGCCTTTACTATATGTTGAAACCATGCTACATGTACACACACACACACGCACACACACACATTATTTGCTCAGGGTCACATAATTAGTATGTGAGGCAGGAGTCTAACCCAGATCTTCCTATCTCCAAGCCTAGTACTATAGTTGTTTTAATTAAGTTTTGTTAACATTTTGCCACCCACGAAGTATCTCATGTGGGTGATCACAAACACCAGTGGTTTTTAAAATCCTTTTACACCTATGTTTCCTAAAAATTCAAACTGAATTGGGGGACCCCTCCCAACTGTATTTCCCATGTTAGTATGTAAAGCAATTTGTAAACCTTCTAATTCAGGCATTCTTAACTTGGGTTCATGGTTAGTTTTCAAGAGATCTGTGAACTTGGATGGGAAAAAATTACACCTTTAATTTCATGTTATTGTTCAGTTGTTTCAGTCTTGTCTGACTCCCTGTGACCCCATTCAAGGTTTTCTTTGTAGAGATCCCGGAGTGGTTTGCCATTTCCTTCTCCAGCTCATTTTACAAATGAGGAAACTGAGGCAAACAGGATTAAGTGATTTGCCCAGGGTCATACAGCTAGTAAATGACTGAGGCTGGATTTGAACTTAAGTCCTCCTGACTCCAGGCCTGGCACTGTATCCACTGTACCGCCTTATTTTCATGAACTTTTAATTAAAATTTACCCTTTCCTTCAATTATTTAAAAACATTATTCTGAGAGGGGATCTATAGGTTTCACCAAACTTGACACAAAAAAAGGTTAAGAACTTGTTTTCTAATTCTATTTCATTTAATTATAATTAAATGAAATGTAATTCAAAGTGCCATTTAAAAGTACTATACTATCTAATTAACCTTTCACAAAATATGTTACAGTTATAAGACAACTAGAAACAAGTCTCTCAATAGAAAACCAAATAATGCATTATAATTGCAGTAAAATAGTTTCAGAAATTTAAATTTTTAAAAAATGTTCAGACAGCTTATACTTAAAGAAACTACTGCATATATTGTGTAATACTACCAGACTTTATGTTAATCTACCATATTTAGATACCAATCTAAATGAGAAAAAAAACAACTTGGTAGTTTTGAAAAAAGATGCTATCCAGCTAAGCACTGTGGTACATGCCTATAAACCCTGATGCTGGGAGGCTAAGGCTGTTGTGATCACTTGAGCTCACTTTAGCACTGAGCTAAAGATGACTGGGGTCAAAACTAAGTCTAACACCAATATAGTGAGCCCTGCCTCTGGAGTAAGGGCCACCACGATGCTTAAGGCAGGGCAAAGCAGTTCAGAAATGAAGCCATTCAAAGCTTCCATGCCAATTAGTAGTATGATTGATCACCTGTGAGTGGCCACCTTCATTTCTAGCCTAGGCAAGAGAGGGAGACTCAATGAAGATAAGGGAGAGGTTGAATAAGAGGAGTAGTAGAAGAAAATTTGCCATGCCTAGATAAAAGCACCAAGGTACACACAATCTAAAATGCATTTTGTTTTCAGTCATCCTCAACAAGAACTTAAAATGGGGATTGCAAAGAGAAATTTTGCTAAATTACAGTAGAGGTGAAAATAAATCTGTTAAGAATCTTTCTTGTTAAAACATCACCTTACTCCCCACCAAAAAAACAAAGTGTTCCAAAATACTAATTTCTTGAACTTTAATTTTCTGGCATATCAACCAGAAATAATCAAAATGAATTTCTTCTTTTGAACTTTATTTATCCAAAGAGATTACTTTTCTTTTTTCTGCCACTTTTAATTTAAATTTAAAATAAAATTATTCTTAACATCAAATAAAAGAGCATTTCCATAAACAAAATAGAACAGCAAAAGGGCTGTCCATGAAAATACAACAAAATTGCTTTAAAAAATAATGTCATAATAAAAAAAAATTAAACTGAAACCTCTCTAGTGAATTTATATATTAGTTGTACTTTCTGGTTAACAGAATAAAATTTGTTAAAAAATAAAACAAAATAAAACAAAAAACAAATGAAAAACAGGTTTCCCAGAGAACTAAAAATATTAAGGAAGTATCAAAGATAATAGAAATAATGTTGAAGGGGTTATGAAAAAGAGCTCATTTATACAATATTGGTAGGACTATAACAGGTTTAACGTCAACCATGAAGTAAACTGTTCATATCCTTTGATTCAGAAAGGCAAAAAACCCAAGACATCAAAGGTAGCAGAGAAAAGTTCCATATGTACCAAAATATTCATCATACTGTTTGTGGGGGCAAAAAAAACTAGAAACACAGTGAGCGTCCCTTTTTTGTGGAATGGCTGAACACTGGCTGAACATAAAAAAACAAACATAAAGGAATATTATTGGACATAATAAATGATGAAAAAGGCATGGAAACATTAAGTATTTTACATCAAGCGATACTGAGTATAACAAGGAGAACTTGTAGAACAGTATTACACACTGGCTATAATAATATAAATGAAAACAACTCTAAAAGGAAGTCAAATTCTAAGAAATCAAAATCATCAATATCTTTGTCCCAGAAAACAGATGATGAAACACATCTCCCCCCTTCCTTTTGGTGGAAAAGTTGGTACTATTGGTACAAGTGTAGAATGTTGTATGTATAGCCAGAAGTGGTTGCTATGTGAGTTAATTTTCCTTAAATTCTTTGGTTACAAGGCAGGATTCAATAAGTGGGGGTGGGGGAAGGTGTGATGAATATGCAAAAATGACTGTGACATAAATACAAAAATTATCAACAAAACTTACTCTTAAAAAGTGAAGGAAGTTCACAAAATTGAAAAATTCTTTGCCTTTTAATTACTCTGGTTAAATACAAAGAATCCTGGCAACATAAAATTCCAACGATTAAAATACAATTTCTGCTATTAACCCTTTCTGGCAAAAGTCTGTTTTAAATACTCAGGAAAAAAAGATTCAAATACTATATTTGTAACAATAGTGTTCAAGTTATATTTTTGAAAATATCATTTAAAAAATGCATTTACAGTTTTACCTCCAGCAGTACTTCTTTATTTCTGTCTGCCATCTCAGATGTTTCCTTTTTCCCCAGAAGATAGTTCTGGAAGAGAAAACTAAGACATTAAATTTAAGGATCAGAATAAAGTAAAAGTTTATGACTAAAAACCTGAAATTCTACACATTCCTTTATCACATACATGCTGTTGCCTCTTTTAAAAAAATCTTTTCTGTTCCCTTGTCACTAAAAACTACCACCACCAGATGCCTGCAAATGCTCAGCAGAAATGATACTTCATGATTAATAATATTTTTTATATTAAGACAAATACCTTTTGCCTTTAATACTGGTGATATTTCTCATTAGTATTAATTGGAATAATAGAAATTGGAAATTAACAGGAATTTTATGTATTCAGTCGATTTTTGAAAAGTATAATATCAGTAAGTTTTCCTCATAGTTATGAAACATTAACTCCAATTACATGCTTAGTATTAAGATCTGAGAGGGAATCAGGAAGGTGTACTAGTTCAACTTTTCCTTCCTCTTAAGAGATGAAGTTGAGACCCAGTGAGGTTAGTTGACTTGTCCAAGGTTATGCAATTAGTCTATAACAGACATAGTATCTGAACCCAAGTCCTTTGACTTCAATTCCACTATTATTTCTACTATAATATAGCTATTTCCCACCAAGGAAAAATAGTAGTATTTGCAATTACAAAGCACTAACATCAAGTTAAAAGCACTGAAATAGATAATGTAAACATAGGATTTAGACAAGGAAAGGAGCATTAGGGTTATTTAGTTCAAGCAGTTCATTTTGCAGATGAGTAAACTAAGGCTCAAAGAAACTACAACTGAAGTGACACAATTCTTCAACAAAAAAGAACACAAAATGAACATAGTATATGTGGCAGGTGAAGGACACCAAAAGCCACAATGCCCAAGGAGAATTTAATATCATTTCCTTGCAAAGTACATAGCTGGGTCATCCAATGAACATTTAACAGACAGAGATGCTAATTTATAAGCCCAGAGGCTGTTGAAAAGTAGTAGCTACTTCTGTCACCCTATGATGTGGATAAGCACTTATCTCACTTTTGAGGGCTAGTGTTTTGATCCTTAGGGTATCCACAAAGGCCAGAAAGTAAGTCATGCTATAGTGCTCTACACTTGTTATCAGGTTGTCTATCTTTCAAAACAGTTACTTGATTTGGTCAGAAAAGCAAATAAACTATATTTCAACTTCAGAAAATTTTTCAGGCTTACCTGGGGATTTTTGAAAAGTGCATATTTTTCTATACGCTCCACAAAGATAAGCTTGTTTTGACTATCTCTTGTCCAGTTTAGAAGATTTTCAACTAAGTTTTCATGATCTTCAAAGATTCTCTCTGTCCAAATGACAAAGTTTTATTAGTACTTCATTGCTGTAACAATCTCAGAATTAGATTATTTTACATTACAGTCTAGGACTCATTGAAGACTTCTGGGTAAGGAGTGACAAGATCTGAGCATCCTAATGCTAGATCCATTAGAAAGCTAATGTATCTAGCAGCCTCACATGGCTTAAATGTCCTTTAACCAAAGGAGGTGGAAGAAAACTTAAAGTAAACACAGTGAACGCCACTGACTCCATCTTATGACTCAGTTCTGGATCTAGCTCAGTTCCCTTTCTATTCAATTACAGGATTAGTCCAATTTCTGTCTCGTGATAAAACTGTATTCAGTTATGGGAATTATGATAAAACTTTACTGCATCTTTTGAACCTAACTCTGTGTAGCTGGGAGGCTGGACCATTTCAACCTGTTGCTTAGAGACCCCTAACTAAAGACCTAGGCGATAATGACTAGAGACCCAGTCAGATACAAAGACTGATGTAAAGAACTTTCTCACAATTATACATCTCAAGCAACCCATATGTCTTATTTGAAAACTGGTCCCATACTGGTTAATCAGTTATTCTTTCCATTTTCTTTTGATTGAATACAGATGCCGGGGATTTCTGATTTCAGGGAATTATACCAGTTTGCTCTCCCTGTCCTAACTTGGAAAGTCCCTAATCTTTCCTCAAATTAGAAATCAGATTAATATTGTATCCTGGTTAATTGTTTTCTTTTAATTAATTAGTTTTATTTGATGGCTTTTAATACATTAAAATTTGGTTGACTCTATATTCAGGGTCTTTGGACTGACTGGAGAGTCTAATGAACTGTTTATTATACCTATCTTGCTAATAAATTGTATAGGTCAAACTGTTTCCTTAGTTATTATTAAGTATCTACCACAATGATGGACTAAATGAGTACTTGAGTTCCTTTCTACTCTGAGATTCAAGATATGGAGAAATCATTCAACAAATATTTAACTTACGCTACATGCAAATCACTGTGACAGATGTTGGAGGGGAAAGAGGCTGGAAATGGATGATCAGGGGTTTTTGTGTATCAAGCTAAAGAGCTTGGGTTTTATTTGGTAAACACTGGGGAAGTTTTTGTTTTTGCAAGAATGTGATATGTTCAGAGATGTTCGTGATGAAGATGAATTAGTTGTCTCTGAATACTTGGCAGGGCAGTGCAGTACATTGGAAAGAGTGCGGGATTTGGACTCAGAGGACCCAGTTTGAATCTTTTCAAACTTTAGTTTCCTCACCTCTAGCTTCTAGAACGAAAGGTTTTTCTAGCTCTAAGCTCCTAAGATTTGGCAAGGGATAAGAATGAAGCAAAGTGAAAAAACCAAAACCAGTTACTTATGTGACTGGGAAATCAGAAGAAGCCAGTATTGAGGAGGAATAATGTTTGGCTGATTTGGAATGAGATTTAAGAATAGTCAACAATTTATTAAATGAATTTAGATTACTATATAAAATAAAGGTAGCTTAATTTTAGATGAAACAATCATTGTAACCTTAGATTCATTATGACCTTAATATGGGAGTGTGAAATTAAGATGGATTTTAAGCCTATCTTCAAAACACCATTTCTTAAACAAAAACAAAAAAATGTTCCTAACTTTAAGCTGCAGAAACAATAGGTGGTACATATTAAGCCACAATCAGGCTATTTATCATACACGATGGACAAAGAAGTAGCTATCAATAATGAAAAGGCATCTTATTCTAACTATTAGACACTCTTGTCAGTTGGATACTCTTCCCCTTAAAACAAACTCACATAAAACATGATTTTCATTAAAATTTTATGAAATTTTGTGATGCCAGTGACAGCATAAATAATATAAAACCACTACAGCACACCATTGTTGAAGCAACGATTGCTACCTTTATGAAATAAATCATCATACATGGTTAATAGAAGTAGCCAATTCCTATAGTGTTATGAATCTCCCAAGATGCTCTCTATTTAAATTAAAAAAAAACAACTAAGGAAATACTGGAGGATAAAAAACTCTAGAGGAAAAAAACTTAAGATCAGTTTCCTAGAAAGTGAGCATTTACTTTGGAATATTTATTGATTCAGGGGTTATAATAATAATAGCGAATATTTGCATAGTGCTTTAAAAGTCTGCAAAGCACTTTAAATGATCACATTTGAAACTGCAGAACAATTCCCATGAAGTGGTTGCTATTATTTATGCCCATTTTATAGATGAGGTAAAAGAGGCAGTGAGAGGCTAAGTAGCTCACACAGGTTCATACAGTTAAGTTAGTATGTGAGGTAGCACTTAAGCTCAGGTCTTCCTGACTCCCAAGTCCAGACCTCAATCCACTATACCATTTACACTGGACTTATATTACACTCTTATAGAAGCTAAAGTAGTTTCTGGTAAGAGATTTTATTCTTCAGTACCATATTAAGGACTTCCTTATCAACCTTAGATCACAGATTTAGAACTACAAGGGATGCTAGAGGTCATGTAGGCCAAAAGAGAGGCAGTGACTCGCCCATGGTCATACAGGAATAACAACAACAATAATTTTTATATAGTTTTATAGTTTGCAAAGCTATGCTATATGTTATACAACAATGGAAATAAATCAATAAAATAACAAAAAGTGAGGTGAAATTAAATTTACCATAATGCCATAATGGCATCAAGATATATTTGGGAATCTAAAATTATAATTAATACAAAAAATGCTTTTGATATAAGACCCTTTTTATATTCTTCCTATTAAGAGGTTTTCCATTTATCTCTGAAAAATCAGACATAAGCAACATAAGCATAATTGTATTAGGATGAAATGACTGGTCGATTGTACACAATTCTAAGGAAATATAGTATTTTTCATCCTTTGTTCTGTCCACAATAAAGACATGAGTGAAATGGTATGGATATGGTAATAGTCTTGTATTACATTATAATCTAAGCAACAATTAGACAAATAAGATGCTATAAACACAGAGAAAAAATCCAAATTATGAAAAAACTGCAACCAAATGTATAACAATAAATAGGATTTTTAAAGTATGCTTTTATAGAGAGTAAGACAACTGATCTTACAAAGATGTAAAAGACTAGTACAACAAAATTACTAACCCATTTGTAATTCGGAGATGGTCTCTACTAGTGACCAGTCTAAGCTATAGCCACAGTGTGACTTGTCCATCAGGTTATCCAATACTTGTCTCACTGTCTGCCTCTCATCTACCATCATTGTTTTAGAGCTGTCATCAGACATGTGGACTCTAATTACAAGCTGTAACAGAGAAGAAAAAAGTTAAAAAAACAAAAAACATTTTGAAAGTAATTTTTTCCAAGTCATTCTTTACTAGTAACACTATCTAAATAAAAATTAAATTTGTTGAAAATCTGTATTCAATTCACATAAAATAAAATATGCATACATATACACTCTCATTTGAGCTTTATAGTAATCCTAAGAGGCTTTATTATTCCTGTTTTATAGATGAGGAAACTGAGGTTCAAAGCGCCTCAGCCCAAATTAAAACTACAGGGCAAGGGTGGGAAGCCTTGTGACCAGCATTCTTTCTACTATACCAGGCTGCTTCTTACAACAAAAAACCCCCTTAAAATATCATCATCAACAAAAACCTTTATCATCCTTTTACTTTATTGGCTTATCTGCCTTCTAATATCTAGCTGGGATGAACTAAATTAAAGGAAGGTTTTTGTTGTTTCTTGGAGGGGGAAAGAGAGTGGAAAAAATGGGATTTTTTTTTTTTTGGTGAGGCAATTAGGGTTAAGTGACTTGCCCAAGGTCACACAGCTGGTGTCAAAAGTGTCTGGTTTGAGGCTGGATTTGAACTCAGGTCCTCCTGACTCCAAGCCCAGTGCTCTATCCACTGCGCCCCCTAGCTGCCCCATGATCTTTTCTATACAAAGAAAAAAGGATATAGCGTTCAAAACAAGGTAGGGTAAAAATCTTAAAATAGATTCTTACAACACTTGTGTTCTTGAATTATTCTAAGGCTTTTTTTTTAAAAGGACATGTTTTGGTTGAAAATTAAGAAAGTTATCCTCAGGCATTCCATGTTCTAACCAAACTGAACTGGTAGCCATTTCCAGAACTTGCCATTTTATGTCCTCTTCTATTTACACATTTGCACAAGCTGTCCCAAATGCATGGAAGGTACTTCCTCCTCAACTCTGCCCCTAGGAATCCTTATCTTTCTTCAAAGTTCAGCTTCTCTGAGAAGTCTTCCCTGAGCTGCCCCATTGTGAAGCTCTTTCTCTTTACACAAGTATAGAGTTGTTCCTCTATACTTGTCTTTTGTAGTACAGGTTTTATCTCCCCATCACAATGTCAGTTCCTTAAGGACTCTTTCTGTCTCCAGCGTGGAGCACACTACTGTGCATACTGTAGGCCCTTTGTAAAGTTTGCTGAATTTGTTGCAATAACTAGAAAGTATATTAACCAGAAAGATGTATTAAAAGTTTAGCCAAGAAAAGTAACATGTGCCGAAATGTCATCAAGTGAACAGAGGCATTGCTAATAAATGAAATACCATTTCTTGGCCATTGCCATCTGCAAGGCACGTAACCTAATCAATTACATAAATTTAGCAAGCCTTTTAAGAATTCCAAACTGGCTAATGTATTAGAGAAGTCCCCCCCCCCCCCCCCCGGATAATTAACACCCATTACTTCAAAAGGTCTGTGACTCCGTCAGTCTAAGCATAACTAATGCTTTAGTTAATAGTTACCCACATTGCTGTTGCTCAGAATATTTATTGCCTTCTCTTCTGAGAAGCCTCTGACCTTAGCGTGGTTTGCTAGGCCTTTCAGCTTGGTAGACAGACCCTGCCACAGCTTCTAGTCCCCTGGCTAACTGAACACACTTCTAATTCTATGCCATTCTGACATACAGTTCACACTTAAAATGGCTTCCTTCTGAAATTTTCGTTTGGCTGTATTTTCTTTATAGTTCAAGAAAAGGGGGAAAAAAACCTCAACCCTAAATAAAAAGTTTGGTTTGAAATAAGCAGTAAAATAATTTGTAATTTGTATCAGAAATGGTGTTGTGGAAAATTAACTAAAACAATATGGAGAAATTAAATTAAGGGCTGAACCTCCCCCCCCCCCCCCCCCCCCCCCGTATTTTAAAAAGCATACCCACATGTGTAATGTTATCTAAATGAGGTTCCTGTTCTCTACCAACTACTGCATCTGTAGCCATACTTCTAGTTTTCTGGGTGAACTACGTCAAGTAGCAACTTCTGACAGTTCCCTATGAAATGGAGATTACTGTCTTCTATTTTAAAAGAATGATGAAAGCAATTAAAAAAATTTAAATATAGAAACAAACACTGGGTAGTACCTTAGAACTAGCTGTAATTTGCTTGTTGTTCCAGTGCCTAGCATAGCGGCTGGCACATAGTAGGTGCTTTTAATACATGGTTACTGAAATGAACTGTCACCGACCATACAAGCATCCTATCTGACTGCTGTCTACAAGGACTGCATTAGAAGCAAGCACACAAGGCTGAAATTAGGAACCAGGCTGCTATTCTAATGAAGATTAGGCTGGTCTCAAGCAATATTTATTTCAGAAAAACTTTAAACTTGTTTTCCTTAATAAGACGCCCCCCAAAATGCATCATGTTGTAGTAGACGTTTTATAAATTAATAAAGCCCCAAGCCAGCCTGAAGCCCCGGGCCACCTTCTTCACTTGGGCTTCTTTAATCTTCTCCAGGGCCACTCGGATCTTTTCTGCCTTCACCTTGGCTGCCTGTTCTTCCTGTGAACACAAGACAATTGAGACAAACAAATGCCCAGGGGATTAGCATATTTTAAAATTTAAGCTTTTTAAAAAAATGCTTAGGGTTAGTTTGGGGAATAAAATTTTAAAAGCATGAAATGTCCCCATGCTTAAATGTTCAGAATATATATTTTGAAAGAAAAAAATGAAAATCTGGATAGTTTTTTACAAAAGAAGACAGCTTTTTACAAAATCTATCATGCCCAACAGACTAGTGTAGTCACCAAAATGAATTAGTTTTGTAGTATAGCGGTTAAGTTTATATAGTCTAAGATTATGCTAAATTTGATTCTATCAAAATATGAAGACCATATAGTTAAGTTATGGGGGAATATGTAGACCCAAGATATTATAAACTAAAGCACAGTGTTGATTTTGTTTGCTGATAAATCTTTGCCCTTAATGCAAACCTCTTTGAATTTAAACTCTCTGCAAAGGATGGCAGCTGAACTGAGCTAACTTTTGTCAGTTACGCTGTAACAACATTCCCCAGAAATTATATTTATAAGAAAAAGTAATGTCTGTCTTTTTTTTTTTTTTAACAAATATGAAACTACAGCACAGGCATATTTTCATTCTAAAAAGGATACAAATACAAGTACAGTCTGTTACATAAAAACAAGACCTAGGTTTTCCGCTGCTTTTAAAGTTTTTAACCTAAGATAGTCAGTTGTACTTCATGTTAGTAAATTCTGGCTGATCTGTATTCATCCTTTTGCTATTAAAAAAAAAGTTTGTCGCAAAAGAATTTCCAAAGTACTCGATTTGGTGTACTGGAAACTTCTTAGATAAGTATGTCTAAGAAGTTCCCAAAACATTAGATTAAAATGACCAAGAATTAGATATATGGTTTAACCATTTTTCTAGTTTTCCTAAAAGAATATTTTATACGCTAACATCCATACTTACTTGTAATTTCCAAGTACAGGCCATATGAACACTGTAGCAGTAATCTCCAAATTAAAAAAGAAAAAAAACTCTCAAAAAATAAAACCTTTCCTAGTAAAGGATGATTTAAAAATTTTCTAGTGTAGGTGAGGCATCTAAAGAAAAACTTTTAAGAGATTTAAGAGGAACAAAGCCCAAACTTTTTAATTCCATTGGCTCCTTTCAACTTACCTCTCCTCTAATTCCCAATCAACCCCTGTCCCAAATTCAGCCTAGATTACAGTTAGTAAGCATAGCTAAGTACTTTAGAACAGTGGTTAAAGAAAGTTTCTATTAAAGTACTTGGCTCCAAAAACAATTCATATACTTTTCTTCATTAAATATCAGGGCAATGAAAGTCGGCTATGTTTAATATATCTGTCGCATGCCTTTGCACCAGCAGCTGAAACTCCTGTCCTAGCCATAACCCCACTGCACCTAACTCCTTGAGAGCAATTCTTCTCTTTACCTGCGTCACTCCACACTCCAGGCTGCCTCCCCTGTTTCATGCTTTGTATTTACTACTCAGGGTGAGTGAAACAAGTAGACTGGGGAGAGCAGTGGGCTTGTTCACCAGGAATCTGATCCTCGAAAAGAAGCTAGTGAATTAACAAAAGCATAAAGCTCCAGCCTGAAATACTATCTGAAAACTCAGCCAGGCAAAGAACAGAGCATTTTATTTTGAAGGTGCTGAGGTAGAAGATAAGATTCATTTATTTTGTAAAGGTGTGCTCATTTAATGAAAAGAATGACTCATCCAAATAAATCAGTAAAACACAGCTGACTCTTCATTGTATATTTTAATGGAAGATATTCAAAATTCAACTTCAATAGTGAGGCAAAATTATGTATGAAAATGTTTACATGAAATCCTCAGGTTAATATTTTTCTATGTTTCTCAAACGAAGTGTTTAAAAATTCTTTTCTGCTTTAAAGGGCATGTTTTGCTTACAGCTATTAGGTTATACGAATGCTTCTTGCCTTTGGAAATTGAACAAGATGACCTCACATAGAAAAGAGGAAGACATCTCATCCTACAAATTGGCATATTTCATAAACAGGGTAAGAAGATACTTAATACCACACAGTACCAAAAGACTGGTTAGTAAATATTCACTGATGATGAGTTTTGCTCAGAATACTTAAAAGAGCTGGTAAATTTTTTTTTTTACAAAATCCACGACAATCTATGTTTACTTATTTTTAAGGCATGGCAAAGTGGAAAAAGGACTGATTTGGCATCAGAGACTACTGGCTCAAATTCCAACTGCTGTCTATCAAGCACATGAGACCCTAGGTAAAGCAGGCAGCCTCTCTGGGTTTCAAAAAAAGGGCTTGCTTCAGAGTTCAAAGAGCCGGGTTTGAATCCTGGCTAGTCTACCTATCAGCTCAGTCATCTCTGGTGTGGCTTTTAGCTGCCTCACTCCTCTTTTCTGGGACTTATTCTCCTCATTTGTAGAATGAGAGGTTTGAATTACATGGTTCCTCCTAGCTCTAAATCTAGGCTTCCCGAAGTTGTCTTGATTTTTTCCAATATCTTCTTATTGACAACGTCTCCCAAACCCCAGCACAGCCACATTGCCGTGCATGTATTAGGTTCTGAGGCTTCCCGTACTTGGTCTCAATTCCTCTCTTACCTTACCTTCTTTTCTGTATTGAAAGGGAAAAACTCCTGAAAAACTCTTTTCATAGCTATCAGAGACCATCCAAAACCAAGCCTCCTCCAATTTGCATTAAGGACAAAAACTGGGTAGAGATCTCTTGATTATAGTTATGAAAGTCAATGCTGTAGATTAAAAAAAATGCTGAAAAGCTCTGGAACATTTTCTTTTTTGTATAAAAATTTAAAAACTCTGAGAAAAAAGCAACAATAGCCAAAGGAAATGGAAACGGAAAGTTTGAGGTCACTAATTCTAGAGATCATTAACCCAAGAACAACTCATACTAAAATTAGGGAGGTGAGAATTAGTATGTCTTAAGATTTGATGAAAACTGGTTTATATCAACTTCCCAAAGCAATCACATGCCTGATAGATATCACTGACTGCCCACCATCTGAAATTAAATGTACAGCCCTTATGGCCATAAAGGAGAGTTCAAAGACAGGATATTCACAATGAGAAAAGCTTATGAGACTGAGGCATGCAGTAGTAGTTTGAAAGCCTTCTCTAAAGCAGGGGAAAATAGGAAGGCCTAGAATAGCCATTTCTTGGACTAATGTCTTTTTCAGTCAGTCACTGATAAATAATAAGCTGCTAATATGATAATGGCATTCGGGGTCAGAGGGCACCAGAATCAGGAACACATTCACATATACAGCAGTGGCTGGGTACAGTCGACAGAGTGTTAGACCAGGAATCAGGAAGACCTGTGTTCAAATTCAGCCTCCATCATTTAAGAGTCGTGTAACCCTGTACAAGTCACAAATTCTTTCTGCCTTAGTTTTTTCAAATGTAAAATGGGGATAATAATAGCACCTACCTCCCAGAGTCATGAGGATAAAAAGAAATAATATTTGAAAAGCATTTTGCAAAACTTAAAGTGCTCTATAAATGCGAGCTATTATTACTATCACAGTTAGGTGGCAACATAGTGCACAGAGCACCAGGCCTGGAGTCATGGAATCTCATTTTTTCAGTGCAAATCTGGCCTCAGACACTTATTAGTTGTATGATCCATGGCAAGTCACTTAGACCTGTTTGCCTTAGTTTCCTCATCTGTAAAATGAGCTACAGAAGAAAACAGCAACCCACTCCTTTATCTTTGCCAAGAAAACCCCAAATGCGGTCACCAAGAATTGGACATGATGGAAGCAACTGAACAACATTATTATTATTAACTGATGTTATTATTTTTCTCTGCCTATTATTATCATGACAATACAAATGGAAGGCACTGCTATTCCTGATAAGAAAAATGACTGGCATTGCGTTTTCAAAGGTTATTCCTCAGAAGTAACTATTTCTGCAACTTAGACTGGTGATAGTTTGTTAGGAACAGTGACAGGGGTACTTCCTAAATGTTAATACCATTCAATCTGGGCAGAGGTATCTTCTTGTAAATCTATGGTCTATCTTAACTACTAAAGACAACATAGCACCACCGAATCAAATGCTTTGGGGGAGGGAGAAGCAAACAACAAAAAACACATTAGTATCCTATGTTGTCTGCACCTGTGAGTTAATTTTTTGTTAAATTATGTGACTATAAAGATGTGATCTGCTCTAGAAAAAAGTTTGTAATAGCTTGCTTTTCCTAAACCTTCTTAATATTTTCATCTATTATATATAATGTGGAAAATGTGGCAAACCACTGCAGTATCTTTGCCAAGAAAACCCCAAATGAGGTCCCGAAGAGTTGGATATGACTGCACATCATCTACTGTACAATACAGTTCTATGTGTATAGATCATTTTCAAAGGTTTTAGTCTAGGGGCAAGAGGTTGTAGCATAGTGGCTAGTGGCATTAAGGTAGCAGACTATGAGGTCCAGATGGGCAGAACAAGGATGGATTAAGGAAACCTAAATGATGATAAGGGCAGGGGGATAAGCTCAGCAGACTGTGGAAGGAGAGTAGAATTTCAACATTAAAAATCTTGGAGATGATATGTCAGTGACTTTTTTTTGTATCTCCAGCACTTAATTATTTAATAAAAACTTACTGATTGATTGGAAAAATAAATATACTCTGGTTAAGTTTTCAAAAGAAATGGAAACTATCAAACATTGGAAAAAACGCACCAACTCACTGATAAGAAGAGAAACTCATATTAAAACAACTTTTGAGACTTTAATCCACCATACTCAACAAGCTGGAAAAAATGATTCTTAAAGCACCGAAATGATTCAAGTTGGAAGGGCCACGGGATGACAGAAACACTAGTATTTTTGGTGGAGCTGTCCAATGGCACTGGAAAACAATTCAATTTGTAGGTGAGCAAAATGATTCAACTGTTCTGGCTCTAAGCCTGCTTGACTGCACTACTGAAGTTCCAGAATAAAAAGGGATTATTATGAATTATGGGCAGCTAAGTGGTGAAGTGGATAGAGTG